TATAATACAGGTTGTGGTGTATAGTTTCAGTCGCTATTCAGATGGTCTGCTGCCTGGTGCTGGCTGTTGCGCCATGTGCAGTAGTGTCCTCCGTTTCGCACCAATCGACATTAATCAGTTATGAATGTTGTTTTTTCACTGCTTGAGAAAATGGACTTGTGGGCTGAGAGCGTGTGAAAAATGTCATTGTGTGAGAGTTGGCAGCACGTGGAACTCTCTTGACATTATTATTGTATGAAACTGCCCAATCAGGATTTATTTACTTATTAATCGACAGGTGGCCGGAACGCTGTTCTGGATCGTTCCCCGCCCATTTTAAGCCCCCTGTGTGTGGTGTGTGTGTGTGTGTGTGTGTCTGTGTGTGTGGTGTGTGTGTGTGTGTGTGTGTGTGTGTGTGTTGTGTGTGTGTGCGCGCGTGTGCGTGCGTGCGGTGCGTGTGTGTGTGGGTATGTGTGGTTATGTAAGTGAGCAACGAATGTCAGATACGTGTATGTTGCATTTATAGATTTAGTTTGATTGTGTGTCTTAACTTGGCAGAGAGAAGCAATCAGCTTCATGGACTGCCTTGCTTCACATCCAATAGTGTCCAGAGCTGGCTGGGCCATTACAAGTAGTGGGTTTGGAGATGTTAGCGCATGCAGTGCAGTTGTTTTGCCAATGTACTTGATATAATGTGTCAATGCAGGCATGGTGTGTCAAATTGTTTATAGCCTGCATTTATTATTGTTATTAGACTTTTATAAAATCATTTAATTTAACTAAGATGACAACACCTTGATGTGTTATCTTTGTGTGTGTGTGTGTGTGTGTGTGTGTGGTTGTGTGTGTGTGTTGGTTGTGGTGTGGTGTGTGTGTGTGTGTGTGTGCTGTGGGGTGTGGGTGGTGGGTGTGTGTGTGTGTGTGTGTGTGTGTGTGTGTGTGTGTGTGTGTTCTGAAATGCCACTTTCCAAATTTATCACTTTTTCTCTTGAATTTTGTCCCAATTGAACAACTTCATCCAGTACAGCAGTATCCATTTCTTTGTGTTAAACATTTTTACTTGAAGAAGGCACTGGATACTGATTTTAATGCGTTAAAACTGAGCTGGCAATACTTGATCAGATTTAAAAAAGTAGTCAGTTGTGGAGATTTTACAGAGAGACAGTATCCCCATGGACAGTGGCGGCTGGTGGAAAATAACTTTTTGGTGGGGGCTATGGAAATGGGTGAGAAAAGCCATACCTAAGGGGCATTTTCAAATCAGGAGCTAAAATACGAATTTGTTGTGTCGCGTGGTGGCGTGTGTGTGCTGGTGTGCGTGTGTGTGCATTGTGTTGTGTGTGTGTGTGTGTGTGTGTGTGGTGTGTGTGTGTGTGTTGTGTGTGTGTGGTGTCTGAAAATGCACTTGAAATGATCAACTTTTCTCTTGATTTCCTTTGATATTTTGTTTAGGTACAGTGTTGCAGCTAATTGATTGATTGTTTTATGGGTATTCTGTGTTGAGATGGTGCAAATATTTTTAATACATATCTAATATATTTCTAATACATTGCTCTTGTGTTGTTCTTTCACATAAGTAACACTATAGAAGTGTAAAAAATAGGCTACGTCAGATTATTCCAAGGGACATACATGTCAAGTCAAGTCAATTTTTATTTATATAGCCCAAAATCACAAATCAGAATGAGGGGGTCCTTGGTGTATTCTCTATCTTGTAAGGGGTCCTTGGCTGAAAAACAATTGAGAACCTCTGCTCTAAAGTACCGCAGTCTCTTCTCCTAAGTCCTTTTTAATTCTCCTATCCACTATCCCTTAACCCCGTGACGTTTCACTCAGAGGTCAAGGATAGGAGATATGGTTAGAATTTAGGAGCTGATTTTTGGATTATCGGAACGCAGCCCTGTGAGACTCAAATCTACACATGGTTTACAGGAAGTGTTGGTCATTCCTCTTCCTTTCTGATGTAATGAATTGTGTTCTGTCTCATGTTCATTCCACCAAAACATTGTGTGTTGTCATTGGTGAATTGCTTTATTTACACTAACTTTAATAAAAGAAAAAAAACGCCTTGTTTTGATTGATATCATTCATCTTCAGTGTAATGGCTTTGTGTATTTCAGGAATTGTGTTCAGCAAGTAAGGAATTGATAATGGAACTGCCTTTCATTCAAAGAGCTCTATGATCAAGGCTCAATATGCAAGAGGGTGTTGAGAATATATACTCAGGTAGTGTACTTGAGTACAATTTCAATGTATATATAAAATAGGGTGAGAGGAGAGAGGAAGGAAGGAATGAATGGAGTGCAACTGCAAACAAGTAAACATTGTGGTAAATAATGCAGAAATAATAAGCGTTGCAAGTAATCCTTATGAAGAAGGAAAGTCGCTCAATGATTCACACAAACATTTTCGGGAGAAACATTGAATGTAAACAGAATATTTTATGTTTACTAGATTTCTCTTCAGGGTACCTTTACATTTTAAACGATGTAATAATACGGAGGTGTAGAAATAGAGAAATTTCGCCTCATCTCTGAAAACTGACATCTCCTGTATAGGTTGCAGTGCTATTGAGCAAGTCACTCTACCATTTTAATTGCTCCATAGGCGGTTCATAGACTGACAGTACAAGCCCCATGTGTGATTCTGCGTTTGTGTGTAGGCATGAGTCTGCAGCTGCTCCCTGTTGTATTGAAAAAATCTAGAGTGTAGCACTGCCTGAGGAATAAAAAAAGATTAATTAAAAATTCTTTAAATACCATCACCTTTAATCAGATTTGCATTCTTTGTTTGTTTGGTTGTTTGCTTTGAAGGTCGTTACCACTACAAAGAATGTACATGTTATCTGATAGCTAATTTCCATATAAAAGTAAAAATCAATTGTAGTTTCTACACCTCATTAAGCCTGCGTATTGTTATGTTTCAGTCTCTCTCTCAAAATAAATCCTCTTTTTGGTGCAGCTCAGTAGTAATGATACATTGTAGTTTAAAGGGTAGGCAATAAAGAAGTTTATATAATGTGTACAGCATTCATAGACTGCTATATTCCAGTGATTATACAACTTGAATAATTGCACACACACATCCTCAAGAATAGAAACGATGAGTTCTGAAAAAAAAGTCAAAGAGGTGATTCAAAGGTTTTGTCAAGAAGCTTTGCTGTATCTAATATATATTTTTTAACAGCCTATTAATCCAAAAATAAATATGTTTACCTAAGCATCTTAATAAAAAAAACCTGTTTTAAAAAACAAAAATGCTTTTAAATAACTTGGGCAGTTACGTAAAGACAGTCAGTTTTGTTAGTATCATTTTCAAATCTCAAGACATCTGTGGGTTATGGTTGCATAGTCAAATAGAATGATATTTTACTGTGTCCACCAGGGCAAGATATTTGTCTTTGTATGACAAATAAAACAATATTCACAGCAAAATGAATCAAATAATAAAAGTGACACATAACTGATCCGCATCAATGTAGAACTATGTGTGCAAAAGTCAATACAAGTAAATAAATACCATTTATATATTGTAATGCGTTTGTGATTATTCTAATTGGCACAAATAAGCCTTTTGTATCTCTGAGTTTACCAGTGTGGCTTCGTCTAAAAAGTGTTACTGTTGTGTTTCACCCTCACAGACTGCCACCAGTAGGTGTCGTAGGTACATTGATAATAGCTCAAAGTGTCACGGTCGGTTCGAGTACCATGGCATGCTGTTTTAATGCATGTTTAAGTACTGTTACACCCGAAAGCTGTAACTTCTATGTACTTGAAGTTTTCATTGAAACCCCCCCACCCGGCCCCAGCAGCATGATCTGTAGCTTTTGTCTGCATCTCCTAAACCTGTCAGTCACTCCCAGATCTTGAACCGGGGTCATCGTCACTCAGCGTCTGCAGGCATTGTGGTGATAACCCTGGTTGCACTCTGACGGTAGAGCCTTCAAGATTGACAGTGCACGCGGGTGTCCCTTTGTGTGGAAATAACAATAATAAGTAGAGTTGGAAAGCAAATTCTCAGGGGGTGGTCTCTCCGTGACAGATCTTCCAAACAAAACCCTCTTTTTCTATTTTTTCCTTTAAACATCATAACTGGCACAGGCGAATTCCTGTACGCGCATACCCGGTCTCACGCCTGCAACGTGAACGCGCTCAGCAAAGTGGGTCTCACTGGGAATTTGAAGACTGGATACTCAGTTTTTATTCATATTTCAGATCAGTTGATGTATTTAAACTATGGGCTATCATAATGGAAATGTCATCTTTCCTATTGCTTCTTCAGTTCCACGTGGCCAAATCACTCACAGCCCTTGTGATTGTTTTATTCAAATAGACGTTCATTTGATTTCAAAGTCGGTATACATAGGCCTAGAGTATACTGTATGTAGGCTACTTGTTGTAAACCTGATACGAGTAAAAATGAAATATTTTTTTTCGGTGAATGTGTAGTGTTTTTGTTCAACAACTGTCAAGTCTCAAATGTTGGGGGGAAATTGCTAACACATTTTGTGCATGCAGGGTCTGGATCGGCTGACGGCGGGGGTCGCAAACTCCATCCCGCAGATAGGATCTCCGGCAGGCGGAGCGGCAGGCAGCTTTCTCCAAAAGGGCTCGGGCTGGTTGGTCGGGACTCCTAACAAGTCCCACAGAAACTTCAGAGGGGCAAAGTCCACGCTGAGTTAGAGGGAGACAGGGGGAAGTTAATGTGTGAGAGCGTGCTGGGAACCAAATCACATGTCATTTTAAAGAAATGCTCCAAAGATGGCGGTGGTAATCGAGACGGGAGTTTCAGGTGCCTCCGGAGTGCAAAAAAGTGGATTTGTGGAGGTTTTGGTGCGGGAGCGGTGGCACAAAGTTTTGGTCAACTTAAACGAGGAAGCGCTTACGTTAAGCTGCGAGGAGGGCTGCGTAAACGACAACGGGGACGACAATGTCAACTCCAACGGGGTTACCAACGGATCCTACCTGGACAACAATAACACCAACTCCAACAACGGCCCCCAAACTGTGCGCACCGCGTTCACGGACCTGCCGGAGCGAGTGCCCGAGGCGATCGCCAACAGAAAGCGGTGCGTCAAGCTGACCAAGCAGGAGATAGGGGGACTGGGGATCAGCATCAAGGGCGGGAAGGAGAATAAAATGCCCATTCTCATCAGTAAGATATTCAAAGGGCTCGCAGCTGATCAGACCCAGGCTCTGTACGTGGGGGACGCCATCCTGTCCGTGAACGGCATGAATCTGCGGGACGCGACCCACGACGAGGCTGTGCAGGCGCTGAAACGGGCCGGGAGAGAGGTGACACTGGAAGGTAGGCAAGCTGAGACTGTGTGGATGGCAGAAATCATTTTAGACAGAGATTTGAATCAGAGACTGTGCATTGGAATCCTAAGTTTTTCATACCTCATGCCCCAATCCCTGTCGTGCATTGGACAAGATAAGGTCTTATTTAGGAAGAACGATATGTGAGTGTGTGTTCTGATACATTTCTGTGAAGGAGTGTACAGCAAAAGAGATCAGTGCGTGAGTTTCAGCTTTTTCATAAGTTCTTTTGGAGACCCAATATAACATTACTCAAAGATCCCCAAGGAAGCTCTGGACCTATACATGCATGGGAACCTAGTTGCAGAGAGGGGTCCTGTGAGATTTTAACATCCCTCTTGTCTTACTATTTCCTCTACTGGCGTTGGGCTGGTTTATGCATTATTCCTTTGCAGACCAGTCAGTGGTCCTCATGACACAACCTATTGCAAATATTTGAATTTTACCTACCAGTTGATTGCATTCACTCAGTATCCCAGATGCAAATCACTCCCTAAGAGGAACAGAATGAAAAGCAGCAGGGCTCTGAGTGTTGAAGCCTGGGAATGAAAACCTCTGCTGTAGAATGTTATTTATTTTCTATCAAAGATATGAAGTGCTGGCTGGTAGCAAGAGTAAAGATAGCAGGTGGTTATGACACCAGCCTTATCCATATCTCATCTAATCACATTTGTTTACATTTTTCATTAACAGTGCCTCACTTTGTAGGCGCCAAACAATCTCCCACGATTGGAAACTGTCATTAAGCTTTTCAAATGTGTTTGATCATCAGCAGAAGAGGGGGAACTACTTTATACATTTTATACACAATTGGGTGGTAATCAAGTTTCTGAATTGCTGTCTTTTGCACAAAATAAGTTAAGATTCAGATTAGTATGTTAACACTTACTATGCAACCAGAGGGGCCATGGGAAGATCATACAAGTTCAGCTTATATCGTCTCTTATCCTCTCATGCTTGAACAAATTCAGCTCTAGAGTTCCTGAAGTGTCTCTCACATATAGACACACACACACACACACACACACACACACACACACACACACACACACACACACACACACACACACACACACACACACACACACACAGAAATACACATACACACACACACATGCCCACGCACGCACAAACAGACTTGCTTTCAAATCACTCACAAAAACTGTGCAACCCAGTTAGTTTTGTGCAATTTTTAGCCAAAGTGAAGACGAAATCAGGATAATTGCAGGCACAATCCACCCTGAGGGAAGGACACTATTTTATCCCCTGAAAACCCACACATACACACATACAAACACACATATACTACATAATACTCAAGTATTCAAGCACAAATATAAAAAGCATTCACACACCGGAAAATGTAACACACAAGTGCCCAGCCCTAAGATTTTTATTCCTGTTCCTGTGACCCAAAATGGTAAGAACAACGTGTCTCTTACTCTTGCACACACACATGCACACTTACACACAGACACACACACGCAGACACACAAACACATGGTGATGATCCTTCCCAGGGGGACATAAGCGGCTACATTGCAGAGGAAAAAGCAGGTCCCAGCTGAAAACTTACCAAGATAAGACAGGAGGAGAGAGGGAAAGAAGCAGGCAAGAAGGAAGGAAGAGAGAGAGAGAGGGAGATGGGAGGGGAGTAGGGGCTGAAATGTGAATTTAATGGGCAAAGTGCTGTGAGGGAAAGAGATAGAAAGAGACTGAACGGAAGGGGAGCTAACGAGGGAGGCTAACAGTCTGATATTAAGATGACAGCCAGGGTTAACTTAAGGGTAACAGGGAGAAATAAGTGCAATTTAACACAGATAATTTGCATTTGGCAAAGCAGTGAAGCATAGAGGAATAGTACAAATGACTTCAAAGTGTTTTCAAGGGGTTTCGTGGATCTTAAGGGGGATAAGATGTGTTTAACGCGTAAGCCATCATGTTAACTCTAATTCCAAATTAAAAAACAATTAAAATGGGAGATGTATTCGAATTTTACGCCTGAGTATGAAGCATCTCTAAGAGAGTGTTTTTTCCACATCCGCAACATCGCTAAACTCAGGTCCATTGTGTCTCATGCAGAGCTTGAAATGGCTGTCCACGCATTCATATCATCCCGGTTAGACTACTGTAATTCACTTTTCACTTGTCTCAGCAAAGCCTCTGTTCACCGTCTGCAGCTGGTTCAAAACGCTGCCGCCCGCTTAATCACCAGGTCTAAAAAATCCTGCCATATCACCCCCATTCTAGCCTCCCTGCACTGGCTACCAGTTCATTTCAGGATCCAGTACAAGATCCTGATTATCTCATACAAAGCTCTAAACGGCCAAGCCCCAGCCTACATCAGCGAGCTCATTCCACCACACCAAAACACTCGTTCGCTGAGGTCCTCTGACCAGGGGCTTCTGGCAGTGCCCAGGACCCGACTAAAGACCAGGGGGGACCGGGCGTTTGGGGCGGCCGCCCCTAGACTCTGGAACGCACTTACCCCGATCCTGAGATCGGCTCCCTCCCTCAACCTGTTCAAGGGACACCTAAAGACGCACTTATTTAAGCAGGCGTTTGAGCAGTCTTAGGCCGTTCATCACGTCACTGTCCTGTCACTGTCGATCACTGGTCCTCTTGCACTTGGTTTCATGTTTGTATATTGTTTTTAAGTTTTTATTCTATTTTCCTGTCATGTTATGCTTTGTTATTATTATGCCTTAGTGCCATATTGGCCTAATTGTTTTGACTGCTATATTTTGTACAGCACTCTGTGCATTCGTGCTGGGAGGGGTGCTTTAGAAATAAACTTTTACTTACTTACTTACTTACTTAAGACAGATTCTGAGAAAGGGTAGGAAACATCTAATTCAACTGAGAGATAGTGCACGTCTCGAGAGGGTTCTGCAACTCTGTGTGTACAATGCAGAGCATGTTTGTGCATTTTGTGACTGTGTACGTAAGAGAGCTTGTACGTGTGTGTTTGTGATTTCAACCATAGATTAGGCAAGCCCTACTGGAACCTTGTTTAAAGAAATGGAGAACACGTTTAGCTAGAATAGGCAGCGACTTCTCACTCCTTCAGGCTATGTTAGGGCAGTAGATTGACCCAGTGGCCGAAAACTGAGAGGACCACAGTTCAAGCCCCACTGTCAGAGAGCATCTGCTGTGTTAAATTGTCCCCTGAGACGCTGGATTTCTCCGGCTCTGTTCTGTTGCTCAGCATGCAGCTTGACATGTTGAAGTGAATTACCCTTTAGGGACCAATCAGGGTGCTTCTGCAGCTGTTCCACAAAGCGCCTATGGAACTGCAGCCAGTGCTATTATTGAGGTCCAGTGAAAATCTGTTTCTGTTCACAAATAACGCCTTTGATTATATATCATAGGAAAACAATAAATAATACAGTCACAGGTTTGTATTTGCAATTTGAGTCACACTGGAGATCGCTAGGTCAGCTAACAAGGTCCATCTGAAGCACTTTCTAATCAGGACACCTTATCTTAGTCACTTGTATTACAGGAGCCATCATTTATGCTATAAGTAACACCTGTGCCTTTATGCTACTATGACTAGTCAAAACGAATGGGGAAAAAGGCCTATGTTACATGCTATTGGTAGGAGGGTGTTGCTGGAGGTTGTTATAATTAGACATCACAGTCTGATCCTAAAGCAAAACAGCACCCGGCTGCCCACCATGCTCGAAAACAAAGTGCTTGCTGAACTGTAAAACAGTGTTTGAACCCCCTCTCCCCACGTGTTGCCATTGTTAGAATTATAGAGAGTTGCAGCCAATGTTTTAAGCATATTTTTGTTACAGACAATATGCAAAGCTTTTTGCCTTGTTCTTTCACAGCAGACGTTTAGACCTGTCGATAATAGAAAACGGTCATAAGTGAGATGTCCACTTCAAGGAGAGCAATAATGGAAAAAGCTTGAACTTCTCTCTCAAAAAGACATGCAAAAAAGACCCAATAGCCGCTTTTACACCAAGTACTTTGTTGTACTTAGTTCCCAGCACTTAGTTCCCCCATGGAACGAAAGAGCAGATCGCGTTCACACCAGAATAAGTCCCTGAGGGAAGATTACGCAAATTAAGCCGCTGACTCCACTACTTCTTCTTCTGCTTTGGGTTTACTGGCAGGCCGCAAACAACTTCACGGCGTATACTGCCACCCGAAGTCCCCGGAGTTGGGGACTGGCCTTCCGAGTAAATCACCAGAATGCCGACACCTCCTCATCACTCCACCGCTCCCATGTTTTTTTTAGTGTTGCCATAAGTTAGTCTCTCTCTGTTGGTGCGCTGGGATAATGCTAATGCTAATAATGCTAATGCCAGTAAATACAATGGCGGCATCACAAAACTTTTCTCAGTTTTACGAGGCGTGGTTTGCAATCCGCCCAGCCAATCAGAAATTGGAACTTTTTTCTCCCCAGGAAAGTACCACCTCTCTAGCAGGGACTGAAAAGGGGGTAAAAGTTCTCATGAACTAAGTTCTCTTTTTGGTGTGAACGCAAAATCCCAGGAACTATCGGAACTAAAAGGGAAAAGTATGGGGAAAAGTACTCCGGTGTGAAAGCGCCTATAGTTCAAGGTTTTTTATTTAGTCATACGAACATAGCTACAGTGTAGTTATGCCGATGAAAATCTTGTGTCACAGGCTTCTCCAACAAAGCAACACAATAACACAGATAAACAGAAAAAAAAAAATATATATATATATGTATATTTTTTAGTAGTAAGTAAATAGTAATACAAAAAGAAAAATAGTTTTAAATAGTGAAATAAGAGTCTATATGCAAGTTATTGAAATAGGATATATAGGTAAATAGATAAATAATTTTAAAATGTTTTTTAAGTAGCAGCCAGATGAATATTAGGGATGTTATTTCAACTGTTCAGGTGTTTAACAGATTTTGCTTCAACAGTTAAGGTGTTTAACAGTCTTATTGCCTGTGGGATGAAACTGTCCCTGAGTCTGGTGGTTTTAGTCCGGATGCTGCGG